ACAAAATCCAAGTCATCATCCATCCATCAAAATCAAATCAGTAAAAAGAAAAAGAGTGTCGTGTCGCGGCTAAAGTATTTGACTAACTTAACTGTGGGTTAACGAAATGAAAGAATAATTGACGGTCGACGGCTGCACTACGTACTTTTCGCAGCAGAAATGAAAAGACGTGCTTCCCAAAATATGGAGGAATCAAGTACATGCACCACCCTAGACTTAGACCCAATCGTAGACCTCTGTACTCATTTCATTTCATCCTCAGCACCAAACTTTACTCCTCCTTTTTCTCTCAACACTCAAGCTCTGAGAACGACGGTGGTCTTCGTCAATGGCATCGTCTTCTTCATCTTCAGGTCTGGAAACTGCAGCTCTTTCTAGTTTCATTTTCCTTCTAACTCCTTCAACTTTCCTATTTCTTTTCTTCATTTCTCGTCACCCTTGTTTCCAAATCTGGTTAGTTCTCAGTTGATCGAGACCGATTGTCTCAAATTCTGAGAAAAATAAACTTAATCAGACGAACTTAAGTCGTTTAGATGTTTTATTTTGTAACTACTGATTATGTGCAGGTGAATTTGGTGTTAATGGTATCCATGTTGCTGCCTTTCTCGGAGACCTGCCCCTGTTCAAGAGTAATAATACCAGTACCATCTATATTTCACTTCTTTTAGCTTATGGATTTCTTAGCACAGGGCTTAAAATTAACATTCGTATTCTTAAATGCTTGAGCAGGGCTGGCTGACGAGTATCAGAGATTAGGTCCAAAAATTGAGAGCATAAGAGATGAGGATGATCATACCGTTTTGCACTGTGCGGCAGCCGGAGGAAGAACTCAGGTTTGCGAGTATATTGTGGAGGAACTAAAGCTTGACATTGACGTGAAGGATATAGATGACTTGACTCCTTTACATACTGCAATTTTGAGGGGACACTTTCTTACGGCTGTTTATCTTATTGAGAATGGTGCAGATCTGAATGCTGCAACTTGCTTGCAGCGAACCCCTGTGCATTACGCTGCAAGACTTGGTATTGGAAGAGTTGGAAAATATAAATTACTCTTTTTTAGTTTGACATTTCAGATATATATATTGCATGATTGAGTTGCAATTGCTAGTTTGAAGTTTCCAATATTTTTTATTTTCTTCCATTTGCTTTTGTTTTGCACATTATAGTGTAAATCTGTTCTATGTGTGGGTTTCTGCTTGAATGTCAAGAAGATTTGAAGTCCTGAGTAAAAAAGTGTGCACTCTATGAATGAGTGTCAACTCTATGAGGCAAGATACAATGGCTAGAAGTCTCTTAAGGAAAATGTGTCAAAAAATGAGAAAGAGATAAGTCTCAACACTCAACGCTATTGGGCTGAAGACTAGAAAGAAGTTCGACAACGAATGGAAGGGTTGACCCTGCAAAAGGGAGTGTTGACAGTATCGTGCAAGACTACAGTTTGAGAATCCTTTTGGCAGTAGCATTGAGACTTCTTTTCATAACCAAACGCCTAGACTTAGAATCTAATATAAAATTATAAATCCCACCCCCACTTGGGTGAAGAGAGGGATACTAACACTAACTTAAACTATAGTTAGGTATGAGAGACACCTAGAGGTGTGAGAAAGCTTAGAGAGCTTGAGCGCTTAGTAGAGACCCAATTAGAGTGGGAGTATGGTACAAAATGAGTGTGTGTGAGAGTGAAAAGATAGACTGGAAGAGAATCTTGGGAAGGTTCCTAGAGGATTTGAGAGTTCCTATTGAGGGTAGGGTTGAGACTTGGAGCTTCAATTAAGCAAGTACTACCAAATTATTGTAATTCTTCTCTATTTATTTGGCTTTATTTTTATTCTCTTGTATAATTTCCTGGTGGTGTTTTCTCATTAAATTAGTCTTCAGGGTGTCAAATCCCAACAAATTGGTAAGAGGGTAAAATTCTTGACATGCTATTTGGCCGGATTGTTGCAGGACCTGAGGAACTTCTAAAGCTTTTAATCATGAAGGGTGCTGACGTCAATGCGGTGGCTGATATTGGCACACCATTGGTAGATGCAGCATATTGGGGCAAAAAAGGATTTGTTAGAACTCTGCTGGATAACAACGCTGATGTAAGGCTAAGTTATATATTGTTTTAAGAGATTAGATTCTTTCGTATTTTTCTGGGTTTTCCATCGAGATTCTCCATGTTTTATTCCATTATGATGCCAAACTCTCATGACAGTTGCTTGGTATACTCAGGGGCCAAATAAAATTAGTTTTGAGTGTTTCCCTTTTCCTCTTATTATTTGTTTGACTAACTGTTACTTCTCACACTTTCCTAGCCAAATGCAATCTCATATGGTTTGACATCTCCATTGCTGGCTTCTATCGAAACTCGATCAATTGAATGTGTTAAGTTGCTGCTTAAGGTATAGCATTTTCCATATTTTCTCTATATTAATATTAGTACAACACTTTATTATGTGAAAATTATTTTGAATATTCATGTTTAAGGACGATTTTTCTTTTTCTTTTTTCTTTTTTTTATGTAAAGAAATTTACATGCCCTTGATTTTGAGTAGCTAAGAGAGGTTACTTGTGGATGTTAGTTTCTGAACTTGAGATGCACATGTTTTGGAGAAAGAAAGTTTAGGTTTAAAATCTAACTTAGCTGTATTTTGAACGTCGATGCTTGCTGTTTCTTGCAAATAGGCATTTGAGCAGTATGATCTTTTTCTTTCTTTCTTTCTTTTATGCTATCATTGTTCTTTTCCTTATTTAGCCTCATGTACAGGCAGGAGCTGATCCAAATCTTTCTGGTTCTAAAGTACTCATACCTTTAGTAGTTGCTGCTCGTCGAGAGGACAAAGAAATTATTAAATGCTTGTTGAATGCTGGAGCTGATCCAAATGTAACTAACAATGTGAGTTGACAAAACCCAGAGACTGTAATTGTCAGTAACCTCAATCAATTATCGTGGTTTAGCTGTTCTAATAGTTAGAAATTTGACATTCCTTATGTCACAGTCAGGGATGACACCAATTGAAGTTGCAGCATCCCGTTCTTTTCTTGAGGGTGTCAAGATTTTCTTTCCAGTGACTTCTCCTATTCCAGCTATTCCAGACTGGAGCATTGCTGGACTAATCAAGCACGTTTGCTCTGATAAGGCTAAAGAAGAGGTTTTCCGATATTTTTCTCTTTTTTGGGCTGTCTCTTTTTCATTGTTTTCTTATACTTTTTGAGTTGTAACCATTTTCTGGTCTGTATCTAATTCTTTAGGTCAGTTAACTGCAAGTTTTGCTTCCCATGATGTTAATAGGTTCCCTAGCCATGGTGAAAATTGGTTCTTATTATGCTTGAAATATCTTGCAGAGGAAGCAGAAGTTGGAGGAACATATTTTGCTGTCAAAATCAAAAGGACTAGAGGCTTTCAACAGGAAGGATTATTATGGTGCAATAAAGTGGTACAGCGAGGTACAATAAACAAACTCAGTTACAAAATTTTTGTCCTATAAACAATAAATTGAATACAAATAATATCTTTGATTTCTTGATGTTCTCTTCCTAAATAAGTTTTGGTTGATATGATAACCTTGATAAGTCTTGGATGAATTTCAGCTTGTTCATTTGGTCTTCAAATGATAGTGCAGGTGTATCTTTCCAATAACGATGCAAAAATGTTATCCAACCGAAGCTTGTGTTGGATCCGCTTGAATGAGGGAGGGCTTGCATTACAAGAAGCTGAAAATTGCATTAAACGGAGGCCTGACTGGCCAAAGGCACACTACAGGAAAGGTGCAGCGATGATGCTATTGAAAGTAAGCTAATTACTGAATATTTTCTTTGATTTTATGTTGAGAATTCTGGTCTGTTATTGGATTATTGCTATAACTAATCCCAGGATTACAAGAGAGCCATGGATGCCTTCTCTATCGGTCTGAAGTTGGCTCCTAAAAACAAGGAGCTTGAACATGCTTTAAGGTAATAATGATTACTGATATTTGTTAAACGAAATAAAAGAAAAGGTAGTTGTAACCTAACCTTAATCACACTCTACTTTTAGCTCTATTGAGCTTTCTGCTATTTCTTGATAATTAGTTGTTCTCATTGTCTATCTTGGTCATCTTGTGTTTTTAAATTTTAAAAAATATATTAGGTAAACGCTCTTTGTTCTAATGACAGGGAAGCAATGGAAGCCAAGCTTAAGGAACAGCATTTATCTGGAAAATAAGATTGCTTGGCTTGGCTTGGCTTGGCTTGGCTTGCATGTTTTTCCCTAGTTGGTATTCCACTTTATCAATATGATGAATGGAAGGAAGATGAAAACTACTATGGTGAAAACTTTTTTCAAGTATCTTTTGGTTAGGGGTTGTCTGTAATGTGTTGTGCGGCACTTGTGGTCTTTCTTCTTTTTTTTCTTTTTTTTTTTTTTCTTTTTTGAGAAAAAGCTATTATATTGATAATGAAGCAAACAATTACAATGTAATTACTTCCATAGGAGGTAGCCTTGTTACCTCCCAATTTCCCAGGTGTTACACTGTTATAGCACACTCGATAACATAGTAGTCTCAATCCTAGAATAAAAATTGACCCGGATGTAGGTCCATGTCAGACTTTCCATCCGGTATAAAGGACGCCAACTCATCTGCATAGCCTTAGCGACCCCCTGCCTCTGATCCAACATGGTGATCCAAATCCTTCCTTTTGCCCCCCTGCCTCTGAATCTTCATAGCCTTAGCGCTTGAATGTCCACCCATACCCCCTCCTCTTCTTCGCTTCTCCAAACACCCTCCGCTCCATCCACCCAAGAAAGAAGCAAGCACAGGCGAATGTGGTCCATGGCAGAATCGAGCATCAACTTCTTTAGTGATATTGTTCTCCCCTGACACTTGTGGTCTTTTGAAATCTTGCCTTTTTAGGCCGTTTTGTTTGTGGTTAAATGCATTATTAAGCCTCAACTTTTAAGGAAGTGACTTTTAGGCCTTCAAACTGCGAAATTGATACATAAGCCCCTCAAGTGTTCTGGAGCAACCAATAATTCCCTTTTAACTGCGGGAGGGCCGTGACAAAATGTAACATCCCGCTGCTGTTGACCCTTGCTAGCTTGGCATTTTATGGTGATAAAAACATTAGTTCCTGACCTGAACTTTCGTGGTGGTGAAACATTGACCTGGAATTTCATTAGTTAATCGGACGGAAATGTAATAGATAGATCTTTTATTTTTTTATAGTTGTGATATCCTACTTACTACACCTTTTTAGAAGAAAATAAATTTTCTAAAATAAAGTGATAAAATATTAATAATTTTTAGGTTAGATTGGATGTTTAATCTAGAAATGCATTTTGGAAATAACAGCCAATTCACAAAGAAAGGACTACGTGTACTACATTCCTTTTCGTAAACAATATATGAATATTTCCCACAATTGCCTACGGTAGCAGTCATTGTATTTAAGTACTTTTTTTTTTTTTTGTTAAACTTCAATTTTTGGTCCCTTTACTAGGGACCATTGATTTGATTTTCAACAATGACAAGTTAAAACCTGTTTTCTTTTCTTAAATTTAACTACGTAAAAATTTTACAAAATAAAAATTAGTGATGTAGACAAAATTTATTGTTTATACTACTCTATTCATTTATTTATTTTTAGTAGTTTTAATTTTATTTTTTAACTTTATAGATATAAATTTTAAATAAATATTTAATATATTATATAAATAATAGTTAAAAAAATTTATCAAATAAAAATACCCAATAATAATTATATATAGAGAAAAAATTTTAATTATTATTCCTATAAATTATTACATTTTTATTT